ATAGTAACAATGTTAATACCTTTGACCATAACGGTGTCTTAGCTATGGATAATCAAGGATATAAAAAGAAACCCAGGAGAGAGCTCACACCCATTGGAATGACCTATGATGCTACTTTTGATCATCTCTATGATCGAGGATTAATCAAACCTATTGGCCCTACCGAGGATCCAACACCAGAAAAGCAATCTTTAAGATGGGCCCAATTCCTGTTGTAAGTACCATCGAGGAAACGGTCATACCACTGATGAATTCTATAGGCTTCAAAACCTTATTCAAGATCTCATAGAAGCAAACAAGATTCCATTGCCTCTAGCTGGTGAGAAGACTGAGTGATGATGAAGCAAATGACACAAGACAAGAGGCGAACTTCAACGACAAGATTTCATGACCTCTTTTTTCTATTTCCTTTTCATTTTTTCCTTTCCCCAATAAGTCTAGCATAGACACATTTATTTCCTTAGATTCATTTTGTAGAATTTTTTTCTTTTTCCTTTTAATAAAATGAGCATTTATATGATCATTTCATTACATTGCAAAAAAAAAAAAATCATGTCGAACTAAGCACAAGGTGTATATTAATGATTTGAGGCACCGCTTGTAGTCACATCATATTACCTTTCACCCTTTCAAATATACAATCCTTTTTTGATAAACCACTTTGAGCCTCGTCTAACGATAGACCCTTTCATTTTTCAACCCATATCTACCTAACCTTGGGATGGAATGATGTGCAACTTATGCAATTTTCGATTTCATAAAAAGCTTGAGTGACTTCAAAAGATTAAAATAGCAAAAAAAAAAAAAAAAAAAAAAAAAAAAAAAAATAATAATAATAATAATAATAATAAATATTAATAATAATAATAATTTTAATAATAATAATAATAATAATAATAATAAAAGTGTACAAAAGGGCAAGTGCTCCAATGTCTTTGACATGAACATGTCTTTGATATGAACACGTCTCAGATTGCGTCTCTTATCGAGTGCTCGGTACCGTGCCTGAGAAACATGAATGCCAAGTGAGTGATAAACTGCATGATCGGGATTTCCCACACTTATAAAAATAAAATAAATGAAAAAGAAAAAAGATAGAGAGCAAAATATAAACAAAAGAGAGTTCAAAAGTAAGAAACCTCAAGCATGAAAATACAAATACTCAAAAGCAAGGTTGCACACCTTGGGGTCTTATCTAGGGTCTTGAGCCTTTTATCCCCTTCTTCTTCAACCTTTAGCCTAACCACGTTACAACTCTTAAAAAGACCTTTTTGAGGTATACAGACACTTGTGCGAGGTTCGGCTAGAGTTACGTTCGGCCTGATTCCTAACGGATACGTAGGCAACCTCACATCGAGGTGCGACCGTAAATAAAAATGCATTCACGTTCACATTCACACACCATGATCATATCTAGGGATCTCCAATGCTCATCCTTTTTCATTTACAGCTAGACTTAAGGTCTTGATCCTTACATTATTAGCTTACCTTGCCTAAAGAGTCACCATCATTTGACTCTTCTTGAAATAATATTTTCCCACACACTTAGCCCTTGCGGCCTAACTTTAGTATCACTTTCACACACCGCACAGATACATGACCTAATATACTTTCCCTTAGGAACCCTTTGTCATGAAATCTTAACATAACGCTGAAGCATGCCTTGTCATGTTAAAATCGCTCATCAATCATCATTGCATCACAAAGTGTGAAGTACATAGCCTCCACGCCTAAGTCACCTAAATACTTTCAGTATCAAGTCAACTAGGATAGATTAAGATGTTACAATCCTTGTACTATGAGAGACAACGTTAACGGATTAAGCTCATTCCACATGCACCTTCAAAAACTTCGCTTCTTTCTTTTTTCGCGTCTTTCTTTTTCGGGAAAAGTCGATACCCTGCACAAAAATGACGGAAATTTTTTGCTTTTTTTTGCATTTTGAGTCGCACGATCACAATAAAATGCACACACGGGTCATGAGTCACACGTGTCATTTCACTTCGAGTCGAGTCAACCTCGAGTCAATCACAGCAAGTCAAGTTTATACCTTGAGTCGTGTCAAGTCAATGAGTCAAGCAACACTAAGCCTTAGGTCGACCATAAAATAATTAAAGAGATTAGCAAAGTCCTATAGTCAAAGATAAATACAGGTGCATCCCAGCGGCAGCAAGAGTAGAATAGGGAAGACCCGACTCCAGCGCCGCCAAACGACAACATCTAGCGTAATGCAGCGCCTGGCGCTAGATCCGAGCATCTGGCGACAAAGCCAAATCGCGGCGCCTGAGGCACTGCAACGGCGATAGAACACTCAACCACTCAGAGCAGTTATTTCGACCTCTTTCAGCAATTTCGGGTTCCTTGGTATGCCAGTTAGCCCCTATAAGCAATTTGACATGATTAAGTAGTCGGCTTGATTACAATCACAATAAGTGATTAACCTGACGAAAGATCTTCTTACTTAGCTTAAAGCGCCTAAACATTGGCTCATCGCAAGACACCAACACACTGGTTCATGAATAGCAGAGGCACCGACATAATGGTTCACAAGCAGCAAAAGTGTCGACGTACTGGCATAACAGAAGAAAAGTTCAAGCGAGCTTTAAAGATCGATAGGCGTAGGTGTTCGGAAGTTTTCTTCGGAATATTATCGCAACAGACATTCGAATATCAAAAGCTCTTTGTTTAAAGACGCGTGGACATATTCATCAAATCTCTTTTGCTCAGAGACGCGTGGGCATATCATTCAAAGCTCTTTTATTCAAAGACGTGTGGACATGTCATTCAAAGCTCTTTGTTCAGAGACGCGTGAACATATCCTAAAAAGCTCTTTTGTTCAGAGACGAGTGAACATCAACAGCGGCAAAGCGCAACCACAACATCAAAACAGCAAGATGGCGTTCCATAGATTGTGGAAGGTTGTCACAACAGCAGCAATGCAACAACAACAAATCGGTTACCTCCAGAGACGTGTGCTCGACGGTGCAAGATAAGCGTTTCTTAACTCTCTTATCTGTTTAAACTAATGCTAGTTTGCAGGTATCGGCATTACAAGAATGATTTATAATCGCAGAATGTTCTGAATCATTCTCCGTCCCTATCGATACTTTGACTTTTGTTTTCGAAACTTGCGTTTCTCCAAACTCAGTCAAAGTGGGGGCTTCTGTAGACACCCATTTGTGTCTCCCCAAAACCAAGCCCAGTGATGAATACCTTTCATATCATTTGATTATCGAATGAAGCAAAAGTGTGACAAGTCTAATGTTGAGGATGTTTTTATTAAAATATCTCTTCTTTCTGTTTTTGAAAATATTTCTTTTCTTACCTTATTTTTGAAAAACGTGCATTCCTGTTTAGTTTGGTCCATGGCAAGGGTCCAATAATGGTAGTTGGATAGGGCTTGTAAAGAGCTTTCCAACGATATATTATAAGCCCAATTCGGATGAATAATGAGGAAGTTATGGCCAAATTACTAAACTAGGTCCGGTTTGATTTTTATATGCGGCCCATTGATCTAGAGGAGGGCCTAATATTGATTTATCATTCCTAATGCAATTAGAATTGATTTTAGTCTTCTAGATTCTTCTAGAAAGGTTATTTTCATTCTTAATTCAATTAGCATTGATAAATTGACTTTAGTTGACTTCTTGAGTTTTAATCAGAATAAAAGAAGTGTTTTTAAGGAAAATACGTTTTTGCCCTTCTGTACGGCTAAATTTTATCAAAATTAAGAAAACATGCGAAATTAGTTTCTAGCGCTTGACGACAGGATTAGCGCCTGAGCGTCTGGCGCTAATGTCCAGCGTTTGGCGCTAATCTGTTTTATTCTCTTCGAAACTCTGATTTGTTTTTCTATCCGTCTGGCTGATTTTCTCTATAAATAGCCTCCTAAAACCTCCGTTTTCGATCATCAACAACTATCAACTCTCTAGTTTTTTAATTCTCATCAAGAATCTCTTGATCACTTTCTTTCTCTCTAGTTTTTGCATACAAATTCCGCAATTTCAAGATCTAGAAGCACCTAGCAATGTTCGAAGTTGCTTTCGCTCTAGACGTGAAAGGTTTTAATTTCTGAGGGTTTGGTCCCAAATCTCTCTTTCAATTATTTAATTTAATTTTTTGTTTATTATTTTCCTTGAAGTTACTAACGCGTGTATTTTGTTATTAGATAGAGATACGAGGCATCCAAGTAAGTGCTTTAATTGATTAATTGATTTTATGATATAGAAATCATGTCTAGATTGTTATTATGATTCTAGTGTCATGTTTAGGGTAATAACTATAATTTCTAATATCAAATATGACAATTGTGATTCCTACGATGCTTCCTATATTCTTTCCTAATATTCATGTTAGTATCATGTTAAGGTTAAACACTACAAGAAAAAGGGTAATTAGCGACGATCAATGTAGTCGCAAATCCGTCGCAAAAATGGATTTGCGACGGATTTGCGACTACTTTGGTTCGTTGCCAAAGACCTCGTCGCAAATCCATTTTTGCGACTAATTTTTGGACAGTCGCAAATTTAGCGACGGATTTGCAACGCCTTTGCAACTACCATTTAGCGACTAACTTTCAAATTTTAGCAACTAAATTATTGTCCGTCGTAAAATATTTGCGACGGATTAGCAACTACTTAGACTATTGTTTTAGGACTCCTTTTGTGACGGATTAGTGACTACAAGACCAAACTTTTGCAACTACGAGACTAAACTTTTGCGACTACAGAGACTAGTTTCATTGCGACGGATTTGCGACTATTGAGACTAATGTTTTTTGCGACGGATTAGCAACTACATACGAGACCAAATTTTTGCGACTACAAAACTAATTATTTGTGACAGATTAGCGACTACTGAGACTAATGATTTTGCAACTAACCAATTAGTCTCTAAACCAAATTTGCAGTCGCTAAATATTTGCGACTAACTATCAATATTTGAGACCATAATTAAGCGACAACCAATATTAATCACAAAGCAAAAAAGGTACCCACGCATAAATTCAAATAACCAAAATGTTAATTTTATTCAAATATCCAAAATATCAATCAATTTTGTATCAATGTATTAAAAAACAATATTTAACTTATAAGACTAATTGTTCCAAAAGTCACCTCTCATATAAAAAAAAAAGCTACTTCAAACAAGAATTAATGACAATGTAAAAGACCAGTTGTTCATAAAATTACCACCAAGAATATAAAAATCACTTAGTTGTATCACGAGAGCGAGTGACTGCAGGCGTAGGAGGCTTATAAGGACGGTAAACTTGTTTTACAAGTGATGCCATTTCCTGCAATGTTTTTTGCATAGCTAATTTTTCCTTCTTCCATGTAGCTTTTTCGATCTCATGATTTTCGACGAATTCCTTAGCACATTTTAAGCTCTCTGCCGCTATTTTTTGGCTTTCTTCTACCTTGTTATGGTTTTCTTCCGCCATCTTCTTTAGTTCTTCAACTTGAGAACTTAATTGAGAAATCATGGAAGGAGTGGAAGATGATGCAGTAGATTGAGAAGTAGGATCACTCTTGTAATACATTTGTGAAGCACTCCCTAAACCGTAGACTTTTCCTTTCTTTTTCCCACCTACAACCTCCAAGTAGACTTTGTCGGGGTTTATCTCAATTCCTTTATTCTTATATTCCTCAAGTTTTTCCATATATTCTCCCTGCATTAAGATATGTATTAGTAACTATGATCTCAAATGTTAAAACTTTAATAAACTAAATACATTTAAAAAAAACAACTATAATAAAAATACAAGCAATGACTCGGGACATCGTCCGGGATAAAAACTTGTTTGGACTTCTAAAACACAATTTAATTTAATTGCTTTAGAGCAGCTAATAGAGTATTACCCATCAATGATGCAAGAACATGAATACAAGTACAGTCAGAGTTACCTCTTAATAGATGTTCCAGACTACAAAGGTACAACTATTGGGAACAGTGGATCATGGGTATTTTTATTATAGTTGTTTTTTTAAATAAAAAAGGTAACACTTATAGCAAAATAATTTATGTAAGCAGTTATTAGTAAAAATTTCGGCAGAGTCTCCTTTGTAAATTGAAGAATCCCCTCCTATAGGGTATGGCTTCAAAATAAACCTGTCTCAATTCACATTGTGCCATACCACATTAATCATATGATTAATGCCGGCAAATCATTCTCATCCTCCAACTCAATCACACAAACAAATAAACAATCTATAATATCTCCAAACATTAAATACCACATATTTTTTTTTTTTGTAATCTTAGCAAAATATAGAAGTATACTCATACCATGACTTTTTGAGACTTGTCACCCATCAATTCAACTTCATCATTGCCCACACAAACAGAATGAGTGCTCTCATATACTTCAGCAGCAGTTGGTAAAATTCCATCCTTTTTCTTTGCCTTGTATTAGAAGAATTTGTTAGCACTAAAAAAAATACAACAAAAAATAGGGAACATAGACTACAGAGCAATTGTAATAAAGACTAGTTATTGTCATCTCTTAGTGGCTAAAAATTTTCTACTTGCTTCAATCTTATATAAAATCACAAGTTAGCTGCTAAAATCATACACTTACCATTTTTTTAACCACTTGAGGAGTAGATACACTACCTTGGCGATGGCCAGGGTCAAACTTTTCTAATGTTTGGCCAGATAACCGATTATCTCTTGCTTGGTTAGAACGTTTCAGAAAATCAGGATGCTTACGCTTATTTATGAATTAGCTCGAACAGTGTCAGTCATGAAACTAACTTCCTTATGGAGAGGCATTTTGTAAACTTGGTTCAATGTGCCCCTAAGTCGGTCCCCAGCTTTTTTGTCAAATTCTCTCCTAGCCTTAGCATCGAACTCAGTTCTCCAAGTATATGTACGCTGCACATAATTAACATGTAAAGCTTATAATTTTAACTCAAAATAGCATATTATACATATATAATTTTATTTCTAATTTATAAACAAGATTTTGATGGGAGAGTTTAAGCTTATGGAGAGTTTAAGATTTTGATACAAAAACAGTCTATAACAAAAGAAGACACTTCTACATTTATAAACAAGCATCAAAGAGCCAGCATACAACTTCCTGTATCCAGTAAGCTACAACATCTTTATATAGACTCATGCATGCCAGACATGCTCATTAGTAACAACGTAGATGTAGTTAGGCACCTGAATTATTTCTGTTCCCTTGGAAAGGAAACTGGAAAAGAACTGTAAAATACTGATTAGAAAACCACTTGATGGGAAACAAATATAGTGCCCATCATACCATAACAATACAAACTAAAACGCGAAGATAAACTTTTGAAATTGATCAAACTTATTACTAAGTTGTAAGGGCTAAGCAGCTTGCAAAAGCATTGTTCTTAGGATTTCTATCTAACTTCTAAGAGAATCTGGTTCAACAGCATAAGCAACCTCATTATACATCAGTGTATGATATCCACGATTTGCATATGCTTATAGTGAAACAAGAAGAACAAAACTATGATAGGTTCATTGATACCATTGTCCATAATTCCATAAGTACGCTCGACAGCTCTACTCCAAGAAACTCTTATATATGTAATTTAGTACACAACTATAGCTATAGATAGATAGCCGATCTACACATATGTAATATAGTCTTCTTTATATGCTCATAAATTATCACACTTGCTATAGAGAGAGAGAGAGAGAGAGATGCTATAGGGAGAGACATATGTAATATTGTTGACATTCTAGCTAACTCAATCTTGGGGGGGGGGGGTGAGTGAGAGAGATGCTATTGAAATATCAGTCTCTTTAATTAAATGACCCAAGAATCAGATTTTACTACCTATATTCAAACAAATCAGAAGCACAAATCAAAACCACTGACTACTACAATTTTTTTGGCATGTTCAGAATTTGATATGTTTGGCTACTTAACATCTCCCTGGGTGCCTCATAATAAAAGATAATGTTTATCAGAGATAATCAAAGTAAGTGAGAATCAAATTAAAGGTAAATAGAGCTTTAATAATTAGGAGTGATAAGCAGTATAAAGTAGGTAAAACCAACACACCTCTAGTGTTCAAATCCCCACATAGAATATTAATCGAAAATATGAATTAGAAAGTTAAAACTTCACAATTAATCAGATTGTTCACCAAACATGATATGAGTTGCAATGCTAGAATATAATTATCATATCACTTTATTCAAAGTATTCAATTTGACAACTCACCACAACTTTTAAGCCCCATTAACCCATAATAATAATTGAGAAATACTTGCTTGCAATTCGCATATAAGTATCAGGTAAGTAATAAATAAATAAATAAATAAATAAATGAATAAAAACAATTCTTGCTACTTCCATATTTGCAATTCCCGTATAAGTATCATATAAAAAACAATTAAAACCAATTTGCAATTCGCATATAAGTATCAGATAAAAAACAATTCTTGCTACTGCCATATTCTGTAAAAAAAAAAAATGTGCATATAACATACTTCAATTTGCAACTTTTAAGAACAATTTATGCTTTGTATTATAATCAGATAAAAAAAAATCGCAAATCAATCAACTCGCAATTCAATCAATAACCAAATTAAAACCAATTCGCAATTAGCAATGGATATCAAATTAAAATCAAAAAATGGAAAAAGAAAAACACAATGATAACCCTAAAATTCGCAATTGGCAAATTACAGTAAGAGAAAGATGGAATGGACTATATGAAGGAGAAGAATGAGTTACTCACCTGGGAGGAGATGTGGTGGCGCAAAGGCGGCTGTTGACGATGACGACAAAAGGTTTGTTGTTCTGAAATTCAGAATGGAAGCCGGGTTTTTTTTTTTTTTTTTTTTTTTTTTTTTTTTTTTTTTTTCCGGAAAAAAGAGTCTTGTATGATTATGAATAAAGGAATAAGAATAAGTAGTGACGGGAGTTTTTGTTTTTTTTTGTGGCAACAACTTATTATATTAAGGGTTTTTTATTTCTTTATTAATAAATTTTAAAAACAATGGTAGCGAGTTACAATAGTAGTTGCAATTTTTTTTTTAAAAAATGGTTTCAAAATTATTAACCTTAGCACCTAAAATTTAGTCGCAAAAAGTTATAAGAGCGTCGCAGATTAGCGACCGCATAGCAACTATTACAAAGTCGGTTGCAAAATTGGCAACTACTCGTTTTTTTCAGTCACAAAATACTTCATGCGACTAATTATTATGGTAGTCGCAAAAATTAGTTGCTAATTAGCAACCGCGTAGCAACTACTTCAAAATCAGTTGCAAAAGTTGCAACTACTCGTTTTTTTTCAGTCGCAAAAATAATTTTTGCGACTGATTATTATGGTAGTCGCAAAAATCAGTCGCTAATTAGTGACCGCATAGCAACTACTGCAAAATCGGTTGCAAAATTTGCAACTACTCGTCTTTTTCAGTCGCAAAAATATTTTTTGCGTGCGACTAATTATTATGGTAGTCGCAAAAATCAGTTGCTAATTTCCCTTTTTCTTGTATTGAAAGCTTTGATTTTTATTGCTTAGTGACATGCTAAGGTTTGTTATTAATCTTGTCAGTATCATGCCTAGGATCTTGCTATTATTATGTTTTAACATGATTATGATAAATATGATTATTTTAATTATTATTATTATATAATTTGATTATTATGTTGCTTGGAATATATATTATTGTTATTGCTTAATCACGCCTTTTATGCATGTTTAAAGGGAATTGGTACTTGTAATCACGCTTAATAAGATAATTATTAATCTTATTTAGGGTTAATTTGATTATAATTCAAGTGATCGCCAATAATATTTTGTTTGTGCATTAATATTCAACCAACATAGATTAAACATGTTTAGGGTTAAACCTATTGATTGCATGTTAGTCAGAAAGCGCACATGAATACGATCAGAATAAAGTAGAGGCCTATTATTAGGGCAGGTTCAATCTATTTTAGGTTGGATTTGTACCTTCATCACCGAACTACCAGTCATGGTTCCATACCTATTGGAGTTGACGATCTCCTTGATCGTTAAGGGGGGTAACCTTCACCTCATGAACGGTTTACAAGTTCATAAAACTTGTTGGCGACTCACCGTACCTTAGTGTATGATCACAGTGGGTTTCAAGCTAGGGATAATGCTTGAAATATTCCCTACAGGTAGCAAGAAGGGAAAAAATGTATCTAATATCGTCTGAAGGCTACCTAAAAGAACAAATGCCTTCGTCCTCATCAATGTGCATAATATTGAGCCCATACAAACATTACTCATAGTTGCAAACCAATACTCAAATTCATTGACATACTAGAAACTATCACACAATTCCTAACCAAATCAACTAGTCAAGCACTATATTCACAAATAGTTAGGCAAAATTGACGCATTTTTAGGCATCCGAACAATAAAACTTCAAATCATGATCAACAACTTCACAATGCTCATTATCATATACCAAGAATCAAAACAATATTTTTCAAGTATGGGGCACAGGGAGGCATGATTTACAATTCATTAGAACGTATTTTTGGATTTTTTTTATTTTTTTATTTTTTATAGTATTTTTCATATATGAAAGCAATAAAACTACTCTAGAAAGCAAAAAAAAAAAAAAAAAAAAAAAATCTATACTAAAAAGCATTAAATAGAGAAAAGAGAGAGTTACCATATGTACATGATCATCTCCCCCTAGCCAAATCAAGCAATGCCCTCAATGACTTGGGGGTGTAGCTAGGAGTAGCTACTCCTCATCATCATCCCCATCCATGGTAGAATAGCCACCTCCATGGCTAGAGCCGGCACCTCCATGGCTAGAGCAGGCACCTCCATGGCTCGAACCAATGCCACCATAACCCAAACCACCTGCAAAGTAGTTAGGGTCCACATTCCTCCCAATCCCACCAAAAGGAGCATCGGCCCCATAACCATGGAACGAAGAATAGTCCACATAACTACCATAGGCACCGAGGGTTGAATACCCTCCTTGGGGGTATTGAAACCAAGCGGGAACAAGAGCCTCGGGGGAAATCCCCTCGGCGGGCATAGTCATCATACATGGGGTATAAACCCCTCCTTAGGTTTCTCTCCACATGGTCTATCTAGAGAACCTACTCTAGTGTCAAGGTTTCTCACTAAACCCTCTACTCTTCCTTGTCCCCTCTTAATCCTATCGAGTTGGCTCCTTAAAGCCGAAAAGTCATATGGGACATGAGGATCAATGTTATAATCAGGGGCGGACCCAGTTAAGTGACATGGGGGGACAACTGTCCCCCAAATTTAAAAAAAAATTAAAAAAAAAGTAAAAAAAAAAACAAAAAAACAAAATGCTGGATATGAACGGATGAAACGAAGAACTGAAGCTGCGCTGCTCCATCTTCACTCCTCCAATTCGCCACTGCCTCTACTCCTCGTCTCCTCTAGTAGATCGACGACCTCCGTTCTTCGCTGCCGCACTGCGACGCTGCCTCGCTAGTCCAGCCTCCACCGCCCTCCAGTACTGCTGTAATTGTGTGATTGACCGTCCTCGGTGGCTCGGTCAGTTGGTCCTCTGTCCTCACCAGTCACCACTTCACTAGCTGCGCCGCGTGCGCACTTCCTCATGCCCTCATCGTCCGACCGTCGAGCCTCGGCCGTTTTCGCTCCATCAAATCCATCAATGGTATGTCTTGTTAACCCTAATTCGAAATCCCTAATTTGAAATCCCCAATTGTTATTCCTAATTTCCAGATTTTTGTTGAATTATTGTTAATTTTAATTGCAATCTTTGTTGAATTTTAATTTAATTGCAATTTTAATCTTAGGTTTTATTATTATGCAATGATGTGGATTGTGGAAATCGATATATATTTTTCAATTTAATTAGGAAATGTCAAATGATTCACCTAATTCAAACAAATCCAAGGCTACTAGAAAACAACCCGATCTTCGGCAATTCATGTTTAAAAGAAAGAAACTCCATGAAAAATGAGTCCAATAACTCCCCTTCATTAAGCTCCCCTCAAAGTCAAGAAAATGATATGGAAATGGGTGGTTCAAGTACTAGTAATGTACCATTGGAGGAAGATTTGGTATACGATGTTGACCTTCTTCCTCATGATCCGGGAAAAAGAATAAACATAATGGATTACCCCGCAAATGAACGAAATGCAGTTAGGAGGGGTTATATTCTTAAAAAACCTTGCCAACCAAAAACTCATGACTTTCCTCAAAGACAAGTGTCTGGTTTACGTCGCTTTAGTATTCATTGGTTCAAGAAATGGGATTGGCTTGAGTATAGTATTGAAAAAGATGCCACATTTTGTTTTGTATGTTACTTGTTCAAGAACGAAGTTGATAGTTATTCGGGGGGTGATGCATTTGTTGATGGAGGGTTTAGGGCATGGAATAAACCGGAAAGATTTGAGAAGCATGTGGGTGGAATTAACAGTGCTCATAATCTTGCTTATGAGAAATATGTGAATTTAAGAGATGGAAAAAAAAATCAATCTTGAATGTGTTTGCCAATGCAAGTGAGGTGATTAAAAGTGAATATTTTATTCGCTTGAATGCATCTTTAACTTGTTTAAGATTTCTTTTGGGGCAAGGTTTGACATTTCGTGGACATGATGAAAGCGGGGAGTCATATAATAGGGGTAATTTCCTTGAGCTTTTGAAATGGTTAGGAGAAAAGGTTGAGGAAGTAAGACAACATACTCTTGAAAATGCACCTAAAAATTTTCAAATGATTTCCCCTTCTATTCAAAAGGAATATTATTAATTGTTGTGCCAAAGAAATAACTAGGTGCATAATAGAAGAAGTTGGTGATGATTACTTTGTCATATTAGCCGATGAGTCAAGTGACGTGTCCCAAAAAGAACAACTAGCTCTTGTTTTGCGCTTTGTTAATAGAGGTAGTGGAAAGGTAATGGAGCGATTTTTAGGCATTGTTCATGTTGGTAATACTATCGCTTTAACTCTTAAAGATGCAATCATGTCTTTACTTGTTGAACATTCATTGAGTCCGTCTATGATAATAGGGAAAGGGTACAATGGAGCTAGCAACATGAAAGGTGAAATAAATGGTCTTAAGACTTTGATTATGAATGATACTCCAAGTGCCTACTACATACATTGTTTTGCTCATCAACTTCAACTAACACTAGTTGCCGTTGCTAAAAAGAATGATAGTTGTGGTTGGCTTTTTGAGATACTTGCAAAATTATTGAATGTGGTTGGAGTTTCTTGCAAGAGAAGAGGAATGATTCGATCGACAAGATTAAAAGCTCAAGAAGTTGCTCGAGCATTGGATGTAGGGGATATTGGGAGTGGATCCGGTTTAAATCAAGAACTTGGTTTGAAGAGGCCCGGGGATACTCGTTGGAGTTATCATTACAAGTCTCTTTCAAACATCATCCTCTTATTTCCCACAATTGGTAAGGTACTTTTACACATTGGGAAGCATGGTATATCGAAAGATAAGTTCAAAGCTTAAATTGTTTTAGGACAATTAGAGTCATTTGACTTTATTTTATTTCTCACTTGATGTTGACTATTTTTTGATACACTAATGATTTATGTGTTGCTTTGCAAAGAAAGGAGCAAGATATTGTAAATGTCATGGAACTTGTCACTTACACAAAAATGGTGTTGCAAAAAATGAGGGAGCAAGGATGGGATACTCTCTTAAACAAGGTAACTTCATTTTGTGCTAAACATGGTATTGTTGTTCTCACTATGGATTCTCCTTATGTTCCTCAAGGGAGATCAAGACGTTTTGTTGAAGAAGCAACAAATCAACATCATTTTCGGGTTGGAATTTTTTTAAGAGTGATTGATTTGCATCTTCAAGAACTTGATGATCGATTTAATGAGAGGAATATAGAGATACTAATATGTTTGGCTTGTTTAAGTCCTAAAGATAACTTCTCATCCTTTGATAAAGATAAGGTACTTAAACTTGCCTCTTTTTATCCCGAAGAATTTTCAAGCTTTGATTTGATGACTCTTGAATGTCAACTTGATATATTCATGGAGAACATGCTAAATGATGAAAGATTTCAAGGTGTAAATGACCTTAATTCTCTTTCTATGATGCTTTTTAAAACCAATAAGCATAAGAATTTTCCTCTTATTCATTTGCTTATCAAGTTGATGTTGATTCTTCCCGTTGCCACGGCAAGTGTTGAAAGAGTGTTTTCCGCAATGACATGTGTCAAAAATAAGTTGCGAAATAGCATGGGTGATCAACTTATGAATGATTGTTTGGTCACTTTTATTGAGAAGGATGTCTTCTTACGAGTTGCTGATGAAAAAATTGTTGATCGCTTCCAAAATATGAAGACTCGAAGAATGAAAGTGTAATTTTTATGTAATGTTTATGTAATTTTTTTCATCATTTTGAATTGTATGACTAAGCATTTTTTTTATTTTGAAATTTTAATATTAAGTATTAACCAATTTGTGTGTTTGAGTTTTTTTTTTTTGATTTTTTATTTTTTGTTAAGCTTTTTGTAAGTTAAGCATTTTGTCCCCCCAAGTTGAAAATCCTGGCTCCGCCACTGGTTATAATCAATGGAAGAGGTAGGGATATCATGTGTGTAGGGTTGGGGTGGTGGTTGGCATTGAGGTTGAGAGTGGGGTTGTGTATGGTGAGCCGCTTGAGCCTCCCCTTGACCATATAACTCGAATGTCTAGGAAGGCTTACCCTTCTCAAACTTAGTCAAGGTGGGGTTGGGTAGCTTACAGGCTTGGTCCCTCCTACCTGACTCTTGGTGGATTATCCACCACGTCTCACCACCCATGAGTTGGATCCAATTAAGGCCTCCTAGGTTAGCAAGGTCCATAAGGGTAGAACCTTCTACTTTCCTATGGTTGGTAGGGGTGAAACCTAGATGTTTGACCGCAATGTGGGTAACCAACCCACCAAAATAAATAGGTGCCCTAGACCTTCCCCCCTCGGCCACATTGGCCGCCCGTTGGAAGTGTTGGGCTATCCTATGCGGGATGTTCAATTTTTCGCCTCTAGGGATCACATAGGAGGCCAAAAACTCTAGCTCATCCCTCCATACATTAGCCGGTTCATGCCTCACAAAGATGGTGAGGCTAACAAACCGTTGCCGAAATTTTAGCACGGGATGTTGAATCCAAGTTCTCTTGGCATGTTGGAGATTAGTTAAGGAAAATTTGCAAATTGCAGCCATTTAAAATTTGTATTTTGCAAATTGTAGCCATTTTAAAAAAAATTACAAATTGCAGCCCAAAAGTTCATTTAAATTGTAAATTGCAGCCCGATTCAACTTTTTCATCGGTTTACAAGTTGAAAAATCTTCGATTAAGGTTTTAGGGGCCATTTTAACTCTTAGGGACCCGAATTGAGCTCAGAATTAGCAAAAAAATAACGCAAGTATCTCGTTTTGCTTAACAAAAATGTATCGATTTGTGGGAAACTGTAAAAATGAGACACTTATTTTTTTTTTCTTCTAATTTCGAGCTCAATTCGGGCCCCTAAGAGCTAAAATGACCCGTAAAACCTTAACCGGAGATTTTTCAACATGTAAACCGATGAAAAATATGAATCGGGCTGCAATTTACAATTTATACGAACTTTTGGGTTGCAATTTGCAAAAAAAAAAAAAAATTTAAATGGTTGCAATTTGCAAATTACAAACTTTAAATGGCTGCATTTTCAAATTTTCCATTAGTTAAACCCTCCCCTGTGAGTTTTTGATAGACCACGACAATATGGTCTTGGGAAGGTTCAATGGGTTTATCCAATTTTAACTCAAACAATTTACCAAATTCTTTCAAAGTCATTCTCACATCTTTGTTAAGCAATCGGAATTGAACATGAGTAATTATAGCATTAGATTTAATCACGTTAAAACTAGAAATAAATTCCACGGTCAAATAATCATATGTATCATAATGCATTTGAAAGCAACCACTCATGCCAATGCCTTTAAACAATTTTTCCACAGGTTTATCAATTCCTAATCTAGCTAGAGTGGGATGATGAACAAAACGGGTAGAAATTACCTGCCTCGTAATGAGGTTGAGCATCCTAACCTTTTGTTCAGCGGAAGTGACCACCACCTCGCTCCACCTCGGAATTTGGAGTTCCAGGTCAACCATAGGGGGTTGTTGCTACCTTGAACTCTCACTCCATTGTGTTCTTGATCGCTTGAGAGCCGTTGAAGGTGAATTGACAACCTCACTACTATTGGACCTATATCATGGACCAACCAAACCATATTGGCTGTTTTCTTAAAATAAGTTTTCAAAAACAGAGAGAAGAGAAAAGAAATTAAAACTATCCGCAACACTAAACTTTCCACACTTTCGCTTCATTCGATTATGATTTGACGTGAAAGGTACTCATCACCGGGTTTGGTTTTGGGGAGACACAAATAAGTGTCTACAGAAGCCCCCACTTTGACTGAGTTTGGAGAAACGCGAGTTTCGAAAACGATAGTCAAATTATCGATAGGGACGGAGAGTGATTCAAAACGTTCTGCGATCCTAAATCACTCTTGTAAAGCTGATACCTGCAAAACTAGCGTTAGTTAAATAGATAAAAGAATTAAGAAACGCGTATCTTGCACCGTTTATCACACGTCTCTAAAAGTAACCGATTGTTTTGATGACCTCCTGCATGCTAGAGAATGCCATCCTGCTTGAAAACCGCTACGCTTGTAACTACTTCCAATATAGAAGACTGCTTTGCTTGAAACGATCCTCCTCCACTATGATAATATTCCACGTCCAAGGGAATACTATCAAATATTGCTTCTCTTGAAACAATCCTCATCCGCATTGATAATATTCCACGTCCAAGGGAATACTATCGAAGATTGCTTCTTTTGAAACAATCCTCACCCGCATTGATAATATTCCACGTCCAAGGGAATACTATCGAAGATTGCTTCTCTTGAAACAATCCTCCTCCGCATTGATAATATTCCACGTCCAAGGGAATACTATCGAAGATTGCTTCGTTTGAAACAATCCTCATCCGCATTGATAATATTCCACGTCCAAGGGAATACTATAGAAGATCGCTTTTCTTGAAACAATCCTCATCCGCATTGATAATATTCCACTTCCAAGGGAATACTATCGAAGATAACTTCGCCTGAAATCACCTTCAGTTGCTTTTTTGACAACTTTCCACAATCTACGGAACGCCATCTTGTTGTTTTGATGTTCACTCGTCTCTGAACAAAGAGCTTCTCTTTGATATGTTCACGCGTCTCTGAACGAAGAGCTTGATAATAGGATGCCCACGCGTCTCTGAGCAAAAGAGCTTGTAGGAAATGTCCTTGCGTCTCTGAACAAAAGAGCTTGAAAAGGATTGTCCACGCGTCTCTGAACAAAAGAGCTTTTATGATATGCCCACGCGTCTCTGAACAAAGAGCTTGATGGAAGAATTTTTCACGCGTCTCTGAACAAAATATCTTTGAATAATATGCCCACTCGTCTCTGGAGCAAAGAGCTTTGATGAAGAAATGTTCACGCGTCTCTGAACAAAAGAGCTTTGAATAATATGCTCACGCGTCTCTGGAGCAAAGGGCTTTGATGGAGATGTTCACACGTCTCAGAAAAATAGAGCTTCGGTACTTGAACGTTTGTTGCGATAATATTCTGAAGAAAAATTTCCGAAGACCAACGTTTGTCGATCTCTAAAGCTCGCCTGAACTTTGCTTTCGCTAAAACCAGTATGTCGGTGTTTCCGTGATGAGCCAATTCTTAGGCGTTTTAAGCTAAGTGAGACGATCTTTCATCAGGTCGACCACTTATTGTGATTGTAATCAAACTGGCAACTAAATCATGTCAAATTGCTTATAGGGGCTAACTGGCGTACCAAGAAACCCGAAATTGTTGTATGAGGTCGAAATCACCTTTCTGAGAGGCTTCGAGCTCTGTCGTTGCTGAGATATCTCTGGCGCCAGAAATTGGAGTAGGGTCCTCCCTATTTTGCTGCACCTGTATTTATTTTGACTATAGAACTTTGCCAATATCTTTAATCATCTTAGGGTTGACCTAAGGTTTAACGTGGCTTGACTCATTGACCCGACACGACTCAAGGTATAAACTTGACTTGATATGATTGACTGACTCGAGGTTGACTCGACTCAAAGTGAAATGACACGTGTGACTCATTACCCGTGTGTGCATTGTATTATGATTGTGCGACTCGAAAATGCAAAAAAGCAAAAATTTTCCGTCATTGTTGTGGAGGGTACCGACTTTCTATCGAAAAAGAAAGACGCGAAAAAGAATCGAAAGTTTGAAGATGCATGCTGAATGAGCTTAGTCAAATGTTGTTTGATACTATCTCTCAAGGTGCAAGGATTAATCCATCCTAGGCTATCTCCATGGTTGACTCAATGATGAAAGTAGTTGGGTAACTTAGGCACGGAGGCTAAGTACTTCATACTTCGTGATGCAATGACAATTATGATTGATGAGTGATGTGACAAGGCATGCTTCATCATTATGTTAAGATTTCAGGACAAAAGGTTCCTAAGGGAAGTAAATTTGGTCATGTATCTGTGCAATGTGTGAAAGTGACACTAAAGCTAGGCCTCAAGAGCTAAATGTGTGGGAAAATATTTTGAAAACAGTCAAATGGTGGCGACTCAAGCTAATGATGTTGGGATCAAGCCCCCAAGTTTAGCTCTACATGGGTAAGGATGAGAATTGGAGATCCCTTGATATGATCATGGTGTAAGTGTGTGAGTGTGAATATGAATGCATGTTTATTACGGCCGCACCTCGATGTGAGATTACCTACGTATCCGTTAGGAATCAGGCCGAACGTAGCTCTTGCCGAACCTCGCACAAGTGTATGTATACCTCAAAAAGGTCTTTTTAAGGATTGTAACGTGGTTAGGCTAAAGGTTATAGAAGAAGGGGATAAAGGCTCAAGAGCCTATATAAGCCCTCAAGGTGTGCAACCTTGCTTTTGAATCTTTGTATTTTTATGCTTGAGTTTCTACTTTTTTTTAGCTCTCTTTTTTTTATTATTTTTGCAAGTGTGGGAAATCCCGATCATGCGGCCTATCACTCACTTGGCATTCATGTTTCTCAGGCACGGTACCGAGCACTCGATAAGAGACGCAATCTGAGACGTGTTCTTATCGAAGATATTTTCATATCAAAGACATTGGAACACTTACCCTTTTGTTCAATTTTATTATTATATTTTTTTTTGCTATTTTTAATCTTTTGAATTATTCAAGCCTTTTTTAGAATTGCATTAGTTACACACCATCCCATCCCAAGGTTAGGTAGATGTATGTTGAAAAAAGAAAGGTCTATCGTTAGACGAGGCTCAAAGTGGTTTATGAAGAAAGGATTGC